ATGTACAGCTGACCCAGCAGTTGCGAGTCACTGAAGAGTTAAATATGACTTAAAGGAATTTGATTGCTGATCATAGAACATATAATGTAGTTTTTTAATTGCTCAAAATAGTTTTATGATAATGCGTAAGACTATATTTCTAATATGCTGGATATCGGAACAGTTTCAATATTACTGTCATTAGTATCACCAGTAATAGTTTTATATATTTAGACATTAGAAAACTATTAGATACCCATATAGCCTACCCAAGAATCAAAACCATATTATAAAACAAAATTTTCCCCATCTGTAAATCCCATCAACATCTAAAGTATTACTGAGATGAATAATAGGCTCTGAGATAAAATTGATACTGTAAGCAGAACAGACCTGTCAATTGTCCTCACGGTCATTGCAGCCAAACAGTGTATACTATATATGTCTGTGAAGTCTACTTGTTTCTTTTCCTTTTTCTAAATAGACTAATGTTGAATTTCAATATCATATCAGTAACAACTCTTTCACAATCTTCTGCCTCCAAAAGAATATGTGCCAAACATTGAGAAGGGCCGCATCCACTACTGGTCGCACACAGGCAAGTGTGGCGTTCCCATTGAGTATGATGGAGTGCCTTTCATGCATGTGGGCAGATGGGTACTCATGTGCCACCAGGGCCAAGACACCAACAAGCGGCATAAGGAAAAGTACCAGATACGCAAGCATATTGAACAGCAGGCAAGTTTTTTACATTTTATTGTTAGCATTCTTTCATTTTTATATCATAAGTATTACTGTGATCATTACAGTTATTGTTACTGTTATTATTATTTAAGTGAGACAGCATTTTAGATTTCATGTATCTTACAATTCTTCACCCCATAACTTTCAGGAGAGTGGAGTGACACCAAAGAGTAGAAACCGCACTCAGGTTACAAAGAAGGTGAATTGCCCAGCAGAAATATACGTGAACCATATCATGAAATTCCCACAGCATAAGGTGAGTACAGTCATCCTTCATCCCTTTTGGTCGTTTCCATTCACATTTCAGAGTATGTAGTTCATCTTTGGCAAGAGCTGGATTATCTGTATCCATTACATTATAGCTTATTATGTTTAGAGAGCATCCTTTCTTGAGTATCAGAACGCACCCTTATCACCACATAAGAAAACCACATCAGGTCACCATTTCCCGCCATATTTTTGCAGGTTCCAAATGCGCTCTTGGCCATCAACTCCCTACCCACAGACCACATGAGGAAGTTGGCCAAGAAGAAGATCATCAACAGTTTCAAGCGCTACTCAAACCGATTTGTAAGGGAGTCGTGGTATTATGTCAGGCTGCCTGATCCTTCTGCGCACGAAGGGCATCCAGTGATCGGTCTGGTTAGTGGTTTGTACATTTGGTTAAAACTGAGTGCTATGTTATGTTAGATAGGATTGTCTAGATTTACGACCTGATTAAACATTGGTTTATTTAGCAGTAGATTCTTGTGTTCATTTTAATGGCTTTTTGGGGAGCTAATGAGCAACCCCAAAATGTATATGAATAGAAATTTAAAGTAAGTGATTCGTTTGATTTAAAAGAAGCAGTGTTTCCAAATCTGATTTTACTTTTCAGGTGAAACAGGAGCCAGTTGCCAGCCTTGCAGCAGAGGCCACCATAGAGATCTCAAGTCAGGATGGGGCACCAACTACAGTGAAGAGAAAAAAAACGGGCAAAGTAAGTACATTAAGGCTTGCATATATATAATGTTGTCTTTCTGGGGCATGAATTTCAGCTTAAAAAAAGATATTAGATGTTTTGAGTCTGTAATTCATTAGTTGTCTATATGCTTATCTCTGGGTGTTTCACAACAGCAACAAGTAAATGAAAATCCTAGTCTAGTCATACATTTCAAATAGAGCTTTAAGGCTTTTATCTCTGTATTGTCATCATCTCGTTTTGACCTTTTCCCCAGAGTACAAGGTTCCGTACCAAAGAGCCAGTTGACCCAAGGGTTCTTCAGAAGATGTATGAGTTGACGAGGCAGGGCGTCTCTACCGTAAAAATGATGCAGGAGTCAATTGCCGAATTTGTCAAAGAGGAGCTGTTCCCATTCGGAGAACCACCGCCTACAATGTACAGACGTTACAATCCTACAGCCTCCGACATCCAGAATGCCATGTACAAGGTGAGGAAATAAAAAGAGGTGAATTATTAATTTTGAAAGTTACTATAATGTTTGTTGACATGGAAGTGTATGAGGATGGACAATCTTACAAGGTAGCTTGAATTTCTGGATGTGATTTTAGCCTTTGTTACACATATGTGATCAAGATATATGTAATCAAAATATTTAACAGTTAGTGATTTATCTTGCTTCATAAAAATTAGACCTTTTTAGTTCTTATGAACTAATCATAAAAAGCCTTCTTTGTATTTTACATTGTTTTTAACTGCCTTTCTCCAACAGGTCAAGCAGGAGATGCGTTTGGAAGGAAAGAGCATCCTGCAGTACCGTTGTGCTGCGCTAGTAAGAGAAATCACAGAACTAGTCGTGCAAACAGATAGTGAAGAATATCTTAATCAGCTGGAGGAACAGTTACGAAACATATACAATGCAGTTAGGAATACAGTTCCTGTTCAGCAAGTTCAATTTAGGTAATTGTTGATAAGTATATTGAAATTGTTTTGATTTTGGATGTGCATTTTGTTCTTCATAATTAGAGACACTTATTTGTATTTGTATATCATCATTCTTATTATTTACTTGTTTATATAAGAATTATCACTATCACTTTTATGTGCAATAATTCCATTAAAGTAGCTATGTTAATTAACACATTGGATTCAGATGATGGGAACAACGTGTAATGAAAATATTTGGCCGAGGGGTGGGTAATGGGAACATCTTGTCTGGGGGATAAAATTGGCCAAGGGGCAGATGAAGAGAGATCTCGATATTTGAAACTTAAAAGTGTTGGTTGATTGGGATGTCTCATCATGAGTGCATAAAGCATTTGGAGTGAGACTGATATGCATGCTTGTATGCATGCACGTTCGAGTTTATGCACATGTTCAAGTTCATGTTTGTGTGTGCGTGTGTGTGCAACATAGGCAATTTGATTTGGTTAGCATAACTAGTGTATTTGATTTATTATTATTATTAGCAGCAGCAGCAACGAGCAGAGGTGCTTTTAGGAATATATTTATTCTAGAAAATTAATGTCTCCATTGGAAAGACAGCTGAATCTAATATCACCATTCATTTCTAATCCTTTTACTGTGTCTGTTTTTAGTAAACCAGAGCAGGAAGCAGAGAAAGGCAAGAGGCTCTTGTGTGAAAGTCAGCTGGTGGCTGCTCTCCCAGCTGAAGGGGAACCCAAAGCCAAGAGAGGGAGAAGGCGCAGGCAGATGGAGCACCAGACGGAATTAGAGGCTGCTACATACCATCTCAAATTAGAGAACCAGCAGTTACATTCTGGGGTAATTATTCTAGAAAATGATTTACTGAAGCCTTTTCTTTTTCTCAGGCTTCTCAATATTTTTGGTTTACATTTCAGTTTGTTTTACATGGGAATTAGTTCACCCACTTTAACAATTTTGTTTCCTCTATGGGAAGAAGTATGAAATTTGTTTGGGTAAATTATAAGTTTTGGAATTTGTCAGAACAATTTTAATTCACTGATTTAATTTTTTACTTCAGGATCAGCAAATGGTGTTAGAGGGTGTACAACCAACATTTTATGAGGAACAGCAACAAGGCCAAGTCCTTGAGCATCACCAGGTGCATGAAATTATACAGCGGGAGGATGGAACTATCACTGAAGTATACTACTATCAACCCATAGAGCAGTATGAACAATACGTCAAAGATGATGGTACATCTCATGAACAGGCTCAGTATCAGGCAGATACCATAATCATAGAGCCACAGAATATCAAGACAGAACCACCTCAAGTGGAAAATTTCTAGTCCAGTCTACTTCTAGCTTTTTACAGTTTAGCAAATATGACTCCGTTTTGTATCCTCATGTGAAACCAAAGACTTGTGCTGATTTCAAACTCAGACGCCCCAAAGATACTTGAATAGCAATGCATTCTCTTCATGCAAGTGGGACGCCTCTCCTCAGGTTAGGTTACAGTATATTATTGTACAGAAAAGACAGTGTTATTATTATGCACTCAATAGAGGTGATGATACTTGTCATAATTGTGTAAATTATGTTTTACTGTAATTTCAAATGCTTGTGATACTGTATCATATAAGATTATGAAAACTTCTGTAATAAAAAGACCATGATATCATGTGTTTCAGATGAACCTCTTGCAATGTTTACTTTATATTATATGTTTAAGTGTTTGGAAAGGTTTATTTTTCATGTTGCTTATATTTTTTTTTTTTTGCTGATTACATAATAATTTTAATTATTGAGAATACAGTGGAACTATATAGAAACTTCCCTTTCCTTTGAAAAACTGTTGAATTACATCAGTATGGTATGTAACATAGTAATTATTCAATATCTGCATTTACTCTTAATATCAGATGGTTCTACTTTCTCCAAGAACAAGAACACTAGTTCACATAAGCAATGTACATTAGCAAATAAGCTGAAGAAAACTAGTGCATAGCTTTTAATTATAAAAATTGGCTGTTATATAGTGTCTACATCATGTCTTATACAGCTATGTTCAAATATTTTTAACACTATAGTCAATGAGCTGCTGCTAAGAATTATGAGTATGTGTCAATTCACTTTCATTTTTAGTAGCTGCATGCTCTACATGATTTAACCCTGCTAGTACACCAAACTAGTATTATTTGATATAATCTTTGAGTCTCGTTAGTCATTTTTAACCAAACACTACGTATATTCATGTAAAACTTCTAGTCATGTTTCTACCTCCTTACTATGAAAGAAGCAAGCAAACAAAATATAGAAGTGTTCATTGCTACTGAGAATGATGCTTCTACATTTTAAAAGCAAGAGCTATTCTCAGCATGAACCGATGACCTGGATAATGAAAGGCACACTTATTTTTTGCTGTCTATTTAAGCTTCAATGTGTTAACTACAGTTAGATTCATCAAACTGTCTAGAATAACTATTTGCTATTCTGATACAGAACAGTCAGAAAGATGCATTCCCAATATCAGGGGTAATATAATGATTAGTTATTGACTAAATGTTTATTCCTTCTTACAAAGTCCTTCTTTTATATAAATACAATAATAGTAATAATTATCTTCCAACAAATTGAAGATCATTTGGTATTTATGAATAAAAACCAAAAAAAAAATTGAAAAAAAAATTGCAACTAATCCTGATTGCTTTGTATATTTCTGAAATAAATAGCCACTGCCACAATGTATTAAAACCACCAACATATACATACCTTAACAAAGGTACAAACATAATTTTTTTTTTTTTTTTTTTGCATAACAATAAATGGAAAGTACATAGGATCATAAACGTAGAAAGAACAGATCCTATGTACCATCTTAAAATATTTACCCTTTCACAACTGAACTATTGATAGATGATCATATTCGTATGTGATCATATCTGAGTAGTTTACAGATGACATTAAGGCATTATTAATTCATCGTTTAGCCTTTGAAGCGATTGCAACATGAACACCGAATAAAGGAGGGTCCTTTTTCTCATCCACGAAATGCACGCACACTCGCACATGCCTCAGTCTCATAGCTTAGCCTCGCATTCAGTCTCAAGGTGTAGAAACGCGTCTCACGAAACCTGCCACACGGGGAGAGAATTCCGACTTCCACGAGGACGAATGCGGAGCTATCACAATGGATCAAACCATAAAGCCTTTCACCTGACGTAAGCAAGAAATGACAACAAATCACAACCCACTCATCAACTAGAGACTCTATCACAATGGTGCGATAAAAAAAAAGGGAGTTAAGTGTCAAAAACTATGTGATTTTATGGACTTTTAAAAAGGTGGCGAAGTGCAAACTAATACTTTGGTTTACTGTTCTTTTTTTTTTTTTACTATAATTCAAGCATTTAAAGACCATGAGTGGATGTAATAATTTGGTAAATACACATTAGAGCTCATAACAGAAGTAAACATCATTTAGACAAAAAATAAAACAAAAAAGTAATTGTCGCTGTATGTGGAAAAACAACTGTTGATACATCTGAGAAAAATGGAAGAAAACAATAAAGAAGAAAGTAACAATGTATAAGAATATAAGAATTTATTATAAAAAAAAGGAGAGAGAAAAAAAAAAAGAAAAAAAAGAAAAAAAATTTCGGTTCATTATCAATTTGATTATCTTTTATTGTATCGTAATCAAGAAAAAACGTGGGAAAAAATATTTCCTTGTGCCGCAATCCACCTCACTCCTCGTCTGACTCTTCAGCTTGGTCCTCTTCCTCAATTTCGGGCATTGGGAAACGAAGGATGGCAGCCACACCGCTCATCTGGTCGAGTTCTGAAACGGGTGTGGGATTGAGTCACCTGCTTTACAAATCAGAATAATGAGAGAAGAGATGAACCCTACACTGATGGTACAGCACCCATTCTAGTAACTACTGGCAACCATGAAGTCTTTCTGGCAGGGTGTCTGCTGCGTACAGCTGGCCCTGGCTGCTCACTCACTAAAGCACATCATGACATGTATACACATGCCTATCATGAAGGGTGTGCTTTCCATGATGACTATCGCCATGCCTGTCATTAAAGTGGTAAACGTATTCCTTTATCCAATTCCTATTGAAGTACTTAATAATACATCATATTTACATATGTATACTTTAAAGTACATATATTAATTCACACACACAAAACATACAGATCATTATGTATATATATATATATATATATATATTATATATATAATATATATATATATATATATATATATATATATATATATATATATATATATATATATATATATATATATATATATATATATATATATATATATATGTATATATGTATATATATATGTATATATGTATATGTATATATGTATATATGTATATATGTATATATGTATATATGTATATATGTATATGTATATGTATATATGTATATATATGTATATATATGTATATATATGTATATATGTATATATGTATATATATATGTATATGTATATGTATATGTATATGTATATAATATATATGTATATATATTATATATATATATATATATATATATATATATATATATATATATATATATATATATATAAACATGCATACAAAAATTATATAAAACTATACCACATTCAATGAGTAAACAAAGTCACTTACGTTCCCCTGACACATGTAAGCTGGAGAAAATTTTGACGTCACCACCATTATCTTTGACATCATCCACCAACCGAATGTACCTACGCCTCTCGTCTAAGTCTTTTGACCTGGAAAAAGTTTCGTCCATTTTAATCCAAAACCTTATTTATCACCATTCTATAAAACTAACACTTAAAATGCCAAGATTTACTTTTACTGTAACCAGGGTAGGCAGTATTTCCTTTCCAAGTCCATCAAGGGTTCTCATAATCTCATGAGTGAAAACAGTGTGCAACATAGATGAAAAGAAAAGATGAAAGACCAAAGGATTAATTAGGATAAAAAGGGTGACCAATATGAGAAAAAAATATATATTCACAAAAGGACAGGATAAAAAAAAAAAAGAAAGAATGAAAGAAAATACTTTCCTGGTCCTCATACCTGAAAAGTGTATCTGACACAAGCAAGGTCTCAATCGCCTGCGAATTGTTGGCCTTCTCCACATGCTTGATTCCGTAGTAGGCTCGGTCTGGATTGGTTCCAAAAAGGGTCATGAACTGTTGTAGAGCTTTCGTCTCCCCGGCTGCCTTGGTGTCTGCTAGTCTTGCTATCAAGGAGGGGTCTTCTAGCACCTCTGTCCAGAAAGAAGGCAAGAAGGCATAGGATACAGAAATGTATTTACTTGAAATTTGAAGACACAAATTACATTTTTGGGGGGTGGACTGTTAGTTTGGAAAGTCACATGATACATGATTATATCATACTGAGAGAAATTTGCTGGCAGAATTAATAAAAATAAATAGCTGACAAAAACTAACAATGGATGAATTCAAAATTTAATCTAGATTATAAGAACATCAACTGGTACAGCTCTTCACACATCTCAAAAAATAAATCACTATATCTCAATGAATGAATTACAGATCTTACTACATCTCAATGAATAAATTACAGACTTTAATACATCTCAATGAATGAAGTGCAGATCTTACTACATTCCAATGAATGAATTACAAACCTTATCATATCTCACTGGGTCTTTAATGCCACTTGTGCACTAACCTCTAAGGGAGTGTTTGAAGCCACTTGAGGAATGAACAAGAACAAATTTGCCTTTGTTTTCCAGGAGAACTTTGTTGTCTGTCTGTGCTGCATTCTGCAAGGGTTGGGGAAATGCAGTCCTATTAATATACTAGGCTGCAATTTAACCCATTTACGATGGGTGTCTCACATGAGACACCCGGAAAAATAAACATTGCTGGGTGTTCCACCAGTGTGACATTGGACCGGAGCTTGCGCTCTAATTCTGTCGCGAGTGGCCCGGAAACTATTATCTTCGGCTTCAAAATATACCAGCACTAGTGGGTTAACCCAATAAACCCGGGTAAAAAAGTTTGAAAAGTGGACAAGATCACGAAATTCCTGTTTGCGCCCAGCTCGTTTGGTAGTTTGCACGCAACGTTAGGCACCTAAAAGCTTGTATTTTGATATAATTTTTAAAAATACAAAAAACTTGAAGGTTTACCTTCACTTTAGGTGCTGTTGCCTAAAAGTTTTACCATAGAAATGATGATGCAACCATCAGAGATAAACAAGCTCTGTTCAGTGAGCTAACAGTGCAGGAATGGTCGTGATATGATGACACCTGCTACTTTGTCCACAATAGTCATGGCATGTACATACATGCCACCCAGTGGCAAAGGCTTAAAATCATGCAGTAAGTACATCCAGGTCAAATTGTCTCAAATCTTTATCTCTCTACTACTACACATTATAATAAACTTTCAAAGTAAATTCTCAATCATAAACAAAATATTTAAAGCCAAGACACAGGGCAACAAAACACTAACTCACTCTCTTCATTCACCCACCCACCCACCCACCCATCCAACCACTCACCCAACCACCCACTCCCTCAAGCACTCACCTCACTCACCCACCACCCACTCACCCACCCACTCACTCACACTCAGTCCACTCACACTCATTCACCCACTCACTCACTCATTCACCCACTCACTCTCACACTCCCACAGCACATGTTTACAAAACCCTCAACTTCAACCTCCTGCCAAAATGGGGGCGGGGGCAGGGAAGGACAACCCACCTTCATCATGTGTTCAAAGAACTGATCCTTCACAAAGCCTGGGGAAGCGATGAGCACAACCTTCATGAGGTCAAAGTTAGCATGACGCATGATGGCTGCCATCACCTGATCGAAGAACTTTGAGATTGCCTGCAAGGACAAGATTAAAGAGATAAAAAAGAAGAACAAGACAAGGAGGAAATCCCAAAAAGAGAGAAAGAAAGAAAGAAAAAAGTAGTATATCCACCCCAAAGAACATAACATCAAACCAATTCCATCTCTTATTCCAAACAAACAGCAGAAATCTTTCACAAACCTTTTTTCTCTGGGTGTCGTCGCCTTTTCCTTTTTTGGGGATGTTCACGTCAATCTTAGCCCGTTCGATTGTCATAGCTGAGGTGATGAGACACACATATGCTAGACCCTCTTGCATCACTACAGCCAAATCTGCATTCTGAATAATTCAATAAATAATTTTGGAATTAGGTAATTGAGAGTATTCTATCCTTACAGTAATTATTCTTAAATATTCACAAATTATTGTTTGCACATCCAAATGGGATCTCTAACCAACTGTCCAATATCATGGAGGGAGAAGGGAGGAAGGGCGGGTGGGAGAGGGAGAGAAGGAGAGAGAGGGAGCAAGGGAGAAGGAGAGGAAAAGGGAGAGTGGGTGGAGTGGGAGTGAGAGAGGGAGAGCGAAGAGGAAAGTTAGAGGGAAATCGAGCCAGCCTACTGGCTTTAAGACCATGGTTCCCAACAGGGGAGGGGTAGCAGGAGTCACAAGGCCTTGGGAAAAACATTTCAGGCAAATCTGCTAAGGCACTTGTCAGCTCTGACAATTATGATGCATTATGAAGCAATGTCTTTAAGAAATGTTATTACAATTGAATAAAAAAGAGCTTATACAGACAGCTGTACAGACAATCTCTCTCTCTCTCTCTACCTTAACTTATAAGCAGTGTCTGAGGGTTTTGGATGTGTCAGAAGTTTAATAAGTAGGTCAACAAATATGAAAAAGTTTGGGAACCCTCTGTCAATCTTTACGGTATGGATGCACTAAGTTAGGGCAAACTGAATATGATATTCTTGTAGAGGACAAAATGTTGCAGTTGTCAGTACAAGAATTAATCTGTAGACACAAATGGTAACACCACAAATAAAGGAAAAAGATCGCGGACAACGCAGCTCTCAGCCTGAGTCCACTTGGTGCTCCCGAGTTTCAGCTCTATCTTCCCATGCATGCTGAGGTGAAGACAATGTTTCAAGGGGGGTGTGCCCCATCAACCCTCCCTTCAGGCAGTAGGGCACACCCAGTCACGGGAATTTAGACTGATGAATAAATTTTTTGATATGGAGGGTGTCCATACCGTAAAGAATTACCGAACCCCTAACACCTCCTGGATTTTAACACAAAATACAATCTTACCAAATCATCCAGGAGCAGAAATCAGCAAAAGGACTAGCACTCACCCTGGCCGGGTCACAAGCATTATCGACACGCTCCAGAGTCACCGAGTCCCAGTGTTCCTTGAAGAGCGTGAACTTTTGGTTGGCTTCTAGGTCCACTGTGTGGTAGGCTCCCATCTTGATGTACTGGTTTTCCTCCACATTGCGGCCCTTGACCCTGTGAAGAGGGGTGCATGGCAGAGTAATTGTTTGGTCAAATAACTATTCAGATATTTTCCTTAGGATGTTGTGTGTTACTTAAATATGAATTTCATATCAACAGATGTGTAACCTACATCAAATTATAGCAAGTACAATAATCACCCTTTAATAATAAATCATTAATTAATAAATTAGGAACTCAAAAATAAAAACATTTCCAAAGATCCCTAGTCTTATTAGTATTATCTAAATCATATAATAGAGATCATATCATAATTTAGTCCATATGATTACTAAAATGTTTTGAGATTCATGCAATCTAACAAACCCATTTTTTTTTCAATAATTTCTGAGTGAAAAGTTGAGTTCCATTTTGACTGATATCACTTAATATGAAAATATGATAAATGTCACCAACCAACCCTATTCACCATACTCCCAGACCTTCAACACATCTTTTAAATGGCCCTTCAGCCTAGCACTGGCCAACGCACGAGCAAAACTATCTTACCTGAGCAAGCACGCAGAAGTGTCATAGTGGATGTCCAACACCTGGATGGTTATGGTGGTGCGAACACGTGAGGAGGTTGATGAGCCAGTGGCAGACTCCTGCTGGACCTTGCGAGTGGTGGTGGTGCGCAGACAGTCACCTTCGTTGATGATGTTGTATGCGTGCCACATGTCCTCCTCCTCGTCAGGTACCAGCACCATCTTTCTGTGTTGTGGAGGAAATGTTAAGAGTCAGCAAATCATTTCAGTAGTAGTAAGTAAGTCACACACACACACACACACACACACACACACACACACATACGCACATATACATATACATATACATATACACACACATACACATACACATACACATACACATACACACACATACACAAACTCACTCACTCACTCAATCACTCTTTCTCTATAAGTTACAAAATTCCCGGAAGTTTCAAACCTGACAACAGTCCTTTGAAATTTTGGCAATTTTAGTGAATCTTTAGAAATATTAGAGCATAAAGATAAATTTTTTACTCCTCTTCCTCTTTAATTGTAAGTTGTTTAACCAATGAGTAATAATTGGATTTCTCTGCAAATTCTACATATGTCCCTAAAACAGATGGTGGACGTTAGCTGTCTTTAGCTCGAGCACAAAGTGTGAAGAGCATGGTGACTGCATAGCACTGTTGTATTTTCTTCTTGGACTTTGGATTGTCCTGTTGGTTTTCCATCACAGATCGCAGCTAGTTTCAAGAGGATTTGGAAAGAACGCAACCAATAGAAATTTTATTTAAGGAAAGCCTTTTTAAAAGCCAGTCTGAATGTCTTCAAAACATCTAATCAAACATCTCTCCTAATTATGCAACCCTATACATACAAATAAACATTCATTTAAGTAGTTACATTCAGTAGGCAATCAATCAAAAGTGAATTAATGGCATTTAAATAGAGTTTGTTCAGTAATCATCAACAGCTAATTCCAAGCATCTGAAGAGGAAACTTTAATTTGTCAAAGAATTTTAAGCAAAAATGTCCTGGACCCTATTACAATATATCCATTTGATCATAAG